AATTTTCATCTCTAGCAAAAACATGAAATGAATAAACATGCAATAAATTTTACAATGTTTATAAAATTTCATCAATAAAAAAGATGCAGTGAAACGAACAATTTCAAGGGGAGACTGAAGACTTTTAGAGTGAGAGTAGCTTTGGATGTGCTGAAACCATTAAAACAACGCATGAAGCTTCGGAGCAATGATGGGTGAGTTTTGGCAGATTTCAAGTATGGTTATGAATTTGTGTGATCACATTCTCATTCGAGACGCATAATACAAAAAGATGTATATGAAGATGGTAAATCAAAGAAGTTTGATGAGGAAAATGAAGATAAGAGAGACAAATATGATGAGTTGTATGTTATTAACATGAAGCATAAATGCAAGAAGTAGAAGAATGGGTAGAACCAAAGTCAAATGATATACTAGATAAATGTAATATATTAAACTAATAGATTTTATTATATATTAATTATAATAATTTTTATGTTTCTTTTTGTATCTTTTTGTTGCATTGTACACGTTTCTTATTGTTGCATCATGTTTCTTTTTGTTGCACCATGTTTCTTTTTGTTGCATCATGTTGCTTAATGTTGTTTATTCTTGATTTTAATTTTTGTTGCTTATTTAGGTTTGTATTTGTTTTTTGGTACTTCCTTGAAATAAAAATCATATATGGATTTATATTCAAACACCTAACATGATAAATTTAGATTTATGAATATCAACAACAATAAGAACTGGACGTAAACAAAAAAAAACAAAAGTTTTAGAGTTATCAGTAATAAGAAACAATATGCAACAAACACTAATAAAACAATCATAATAACACTACTTAGAAGTTTAATCATTTTAGAAAGATATTAAATTTTAATTTTAATTTTTTTCAAATTTTTAGATATTTTTGCTTGTTCACTGCTTTAATATTTCATATTTTTTCAAGATTTTATATTTTATAGCATTTTATTTTTATTATTTCATTTTCAGAGAAAGTTTTTAGTTTTCTTTCTTTTTTCATTTTTATTTATATATTTTCATTATTTTGTAATATTAAATTATAAAAAATTCAATTATTTGTGTTTTTGATTATTTCATACGTATTTTTATACACATTAAGGGGAATTTGAAGTCTTCTAAAAATTAACATCACAATTTTTTGCTACTATTTTTCCTCTTTATAAACTATTTCAAACCTTTCTCATTTTTATTTTTGATTTTTTATTTCCAAATTTTCTATACGTTTCTAAACATATTTCTGATGAAATTCCGTTTTGTAAATTCATTTTACAATTTTCAGCTTTGATTTGTTATTATGCATTATTCAAAATTTTCCTTATTCCCAAATTATCTTATTATTTTTAAATTTTATATTATTTTACACTTTTAGTTTTTTTTACCCCCTCCGCATTTAAAAGATCACTTCATTAGGTCTTGGCACAATATTTAAGGGGGAAATAACAGGGATAATGAATAGTGTAGAAAAAGTATGATAGAAGGTGAAAAAGTAGGAAAGAAAAGATAAAAAGTAAAAAAAGTAAGGGTAATTGGGTATTTTTAAAAGAAAAACTTACCAAAAAAAGAAAGTGTAGCAAACTTTTAAATACATCTTAAATAGGAAGTGTAACGAACTTTTAATTATGAAGGGAATAGTTAGCTTCATCTTTTTACAATTTAATAAATATTTACATTTTTTCTAATTAAAATGTGAGTAGAGCAGTTCTTGGAGGCTGTATACATTTAACAACTAGTGTAGAGAGATAACTACAGCACACGCACCGCACCGTTCTTTGGAGCATAGGTTCCAGTGGGTTAGTAACGTATATGGTCTATATTTGAAAGAAAAAAGTAGTTTGTCTATTTTTGAAAAGAGTTTTGAAAAGTGAAAAAAGTGATATTATGTTTGCTTTTTAGTCTCCTTGTGAAAAAATCCCAAATAAATAACTTCAACATTGTCTCTAGTGTTCAAAGTTAGGTGTTGTGTAATTGAGGTGATTGGTAAGGATGATGTAAGTCTCACTTTAATTTGCGCAATGCTCTTTACCTTCAATATTTTTTTCGTAAAAACTTATATTTTTTTATAATCTCTTTACTATTAGCACCTGTTTGCTATGGTAGTATTAATAATCAATAAATATAGTGTCTATATAATACCAAACAAATACTAAAAGAAAACATTAATAATTCTAATTCTATAACATTTTTTCTACTATACAGTCAGTCTGTTTTTCTAATCTTTGTGCAATATAAAACATTAGAGTACTAATAATTATTTCCTTCAAAATTCCATCCCAAAGTTTGGATCTTATTATGTGAATATTTAATTCGATACCTATAATTTAGTACTATTATGTGAATTTAGTAGCAGCAGCAATAATAATAATAATAATAATAATAATAATTACAATTATAATAGTAACAACACTAACAATAACAATGATAACAACAACATCATTATTAGTACTCATAGGTTATTATATTATAAAAAGATACTACAATTTTTATATGTTAATAGTAATAGTAAAAATACTATAAACAAAAATAGTACTACCGGCTCTGATATTAGTACCAACTATTTTAATTTAATAAATTATTATTCAATAATGATTAACAATATTCCCCCTCTGCTAATTAAATAAGATTCCACTTCCCAATTTTTTGGGCCTTTTTTTACGTAATAAATTATACTCCTCCATAATAACAACATACATGATTGCGTGTTACTTTTTTATTCCCTTAATTTTGTTAGTATGAATAGTTGTTTAAGTTGTAAGCAATGTAATAAGAGTAATTATATTTGTGGGGAGAATTAAAGGATAGGTGTAGAAAATGATGAGAATGAAATTATTCCAATGCCAACAAGATATTAAATAGGACCTCTATTCATTAAGAATGAGATTAGAACAAATTATTCATTATTTTGACCCTTCTACTGAACCATTATCCGCCACTTGTGCAATTACAATCCTTCTGAATGTGATAAGTAGAAATAGTACGTGTGTGAAACATTTAATTTGTCCCTTTCATAAAATAAATTAAATTTTTACGTTTTTTCATCAAATAAAACCTTTCACTTTGTTAGAACATTACAAGAATTTTTCATAATTTGTAAATTCAATATGGTCATGTTTATTGAGGACTATTGATCTAATTGTAAACGCAATATGGTCTTATTTATTGATATGACTTCCAGAAAGCGTCAATAAAGTTGAGGGTTAGATTTTGTTTTGTAGATTGAATCTTGGAAGAGGTGTCTATCTTCAAAGAATCCATATTTGAGTCCCCTAACCACACAATCTAACATTCAAGAATTGCCACATATGTTGGACACTCTTATGGGGATTTGATATTTTTTTCTATTGAAATGGACTCAACAAAATGAGAGAAAGTAGAATTAGGAATGTACTATGGCATATGTTAATCTAATTCACTTATTCACTACAGAAGGTCTCGAATTCGAAACTCCATCGAGAGAATTACAGCCTCGTTTATCCTAGACCCCCCCATCCCTATATAAAAAAGGAAATCATAGTTTACACTCAGACCCTCTTTGTTATATTGAATTTTCAATTCATCTCCCATCTAACTTAGTATTTCATTCCATAGGTTTTCTAAATTACATCTTGCATAACCTCTAGAGATAGCTTCATTGCACATTAGCTAGTGCTTATCACTTTAGCAATAAAATCCTAACAAATATATTCATGTATGTGAGTTTGGGAACACCATATATAAACTTGTTGCTATACACTTTCAAAATTTCTTTTTATTTCCATTGCACTTCACACTTACATTAAATGAAGCGGGAATTTGGTATTGCAACGACCCATTTGTTATGTCAAAGTCCTGCTTATCAAGTGGATCAAGACTCATTGTGTCATATACTCTCCCTAGTTGTGCGCCTTCTCTTTCTAATGACCCTAATTTAGTTATTTTATGGAGACAAGAAATATAATAGAGCAACATGAACACAGAATGAGTTATCACAGGCTAGACAGTGATGGCACATTTAACAGTTCTTACCCACACAACGGATCAACGAACTCAACGGAGACACTTCAGAGGTTTTTCACTCTTCTTACATACGACATTACGACTCCCCTACGGTTTATGCATTTTCAGCAACGCAAAAAGATATCCTGAAATTATCTGTTATACAAAGACTACCCATCATAGTGCTTAGATTGTGGTCACCATCGGTGATAGCATTCAACAGAAGGATTTTTAAGAGCATGTCAAATTTTGAAGGTTCTTAGGTAGGGGTGGACTCGGGCCGGGCCAACCGGCCCGGAACCGGACCGGCCCGCCACTGTGCGGGCCCGGACCGGCCCGGGAACCGGTTCGTTGGGCGGTTCGGGCCACCCGGCCCGGTGGATTCTCGGTTCGGGCTCGGGCCCTTCAAAAGGTGAACCGGCCCGGCCGGTTTGGGCCCGGGCCGGGCCAATTTTTATTTTTTTTTTGAATTTTTTTTGAGTTTTTGGGTTGGGCTGGTTATTTTGGGCCATTTGAGGTGGTTAGGGTTGGTTTGGGGGTGAGGGGGAGGGGTGGGGGTTAACTAGGAAAAGCCCCCCAAAAAAAAAATACCCGAGGCCCGGCCCAGCCCGGCCTGGACCCGGGGTTTACCCGGGCCGGTTCCGGGCCTCCCCTTCTTGAACCGAGGCCCGGCCGGGCCCAGGCCCGAACCGGCCCGAGTCCACCCCTAATTGTTGGTGAATCCTTGATGAACTCTTTCAACAGTTGTATAGTTCACTCTTACCGGTATTGTTGGTGAATCCTTGATGAACTCTTTCAACAGTTGTATTCCTTCCTAATGTTTCTTGAGCGACACATTTAAACATGATCAGTACATCTGTTCTAGAATTGAAGGTGTACGTAGAGTTTTGTAATTTCATACTCCGTACAATATATTTTTTCTTTAAAAAGATATTCCTTTCACTGAACTTAATTTCTTATTAAGCTGTCACTCATTTTATATTGGGAGAGAGCAGTGTTTATTTACGATATAAATCAGTAAACGGGATTAAATTTAACTATATAAATATTACATATGGAAAATTATATTGGATACGAAAACAATCAAATGTAAACATTACGAGAACTATTACTGAGAAAAACTATTAGATAAAAACTAAAAACAAGTGGTGCAGTGAATCAGAAAAGTAACAAATGGGTACTTATAGCGATGAAGGGAATGATTTGCCATTGAGGAATAGAGTTACAAGGGGCTTAAAACTAAATCCTCTGATTGAGAAAGAAAGAAAATAACAAGAGGGAAAGAGTGAGAGACAAAAGTGCAAACAAAAGGTAGCTCACGAGATTGTGTAATTGAGAGTTCTAGACAAGGAGAAAGGCCCTCCTCATTCATCTATCAGATACGAGCCACGTATGAATTGGCTTGCGTAACATATCGCACCCACCGATAGGGGTTGTATGATTTAGATGTCTTTGCAATCTGCAAATACTTCACCTGCAACAAATATCCAATCTTATAATATGTGATTGTATACATCTCATTAACCTTTTGTTTATTTGTAAGGTACATTTATCAAGATATTAGATATGGACTAAAACTCTACTAACATTAACGTAATATGTGACCGTGCAACTTTTTTATAACCTCTTGTTTGTGTTCAAGAAATATCTATCAAGATATGGACTGAAGCTCTCCAAAAGATTAACCTAATATGTGACCGTACAACATTTTGATAACCTTCTGTTCATTTTTAAGAAACATTTATCAAAGATATGAACAAAATCCCTCGAAAAGTCACCCCTCCCCTCAACCGCTCTGAAATCCTCCATCCAAACATACTCTTAAGAGAAAGGTTTGTCGTTTAAAATCATTACTCCCAAAAGAATGAAAGAAGATGATCCCTTTTACCTGTAGCCTTGAAGGGTTGTACATGGGTATGGTGAATGTCATGCTAACAGGCCCAGCTTCCTTGGTGATATTTGCTGTGTAACATAATAATTGAATTATTAAGGATGATGATAATTGAATCATATGAGATAAAATACGTAGATATCCACTTAGCCATACCATGTGCCTCTTGTGATAAGGTTAGCTTGGCACGCAGTGTACACTCAGAACCACCCACAATCTATATATGGTATATTGGAATATCAGGACTCTTTAAAAATAAAACAAAAAGAACTAACTCAAGAAATGCAATAAGAAACCCGCATAACATCGGATTATTGTTCCGCTCCTATTACTTTCTTCAGACTCCACTCAAGCTTCCTATTGGATTCTTTGAAATCAGTTGTTTGCCCAACCGCTCCAGGTTCCAGCTCGAAACTAACCCTGTAAGAATTATACAAGAAAGAATGGCTAAAATGATACTAATAGGTTCTGAATTGACAAAAATATGACCTGGATACAGCTGGACAAAAAAGTGATCGATTTTAAATGAAAAACCCTTTGGCTTCTCCCTGCGCATCCCAGCACGCTCCATCTCTGCGGACTTCTCCCCTGCGGCCTCTCCCTGCGAATCTGCAAAATCTCCACCAGCTCTCTTTCCCTTCCTCCTCCATCAAAAGCGCCACCACATCTTACTCTACGCCGCCGAAATCATCTTCTTCTTCCCCTTTCTTTGTTGTGCATAAACCACCTTCGCCAAAATGTGAATCTGCGACGACATTTAAGATCTAGAAATCGATCGTCTTCTACATCGGTCCCCCGACGTTGGATGTTGGTGGTGATGAAGATATGTTGGGGGCAGGGTGGTGGCGAGTCAGTGGCGGCGGCGGGTGAGTTTATGGTGTCTAATGGAGATGGCAACGTTGGGCAACGGCGACTATGGTTAGATTTGAGGGTAGTGGGGCGGCGACGTTGGGCGAGGAGGGAGGTGGGGCGTGGGTGGTGCAGTGACAGGGTGTGTGAGTGGGGCAGTGACGGTGGTGCGGGGGTTAGTGAGGGGTCGGGGTAGTAACGGTGGTGTGGAGGCTGACGAGAGGTGGTGCTGGGGAGTGGTGGTCACCGGTGGAAAGACGGTGGTGTCAGCAGTGGTCACATGCTGGATGGCGGCGGTCACTGAGTTTCTGCTGGAAGGCAGTGGTCACGGTGGCCGGAGTCACTATTGTTGGAGTCACTATGCCGGAGTCACTGTTGCCAGAGTCACTATGCCGGAGTCATTGTTGCCGGAGTCACCATGCCGGAGTCACTTTGGTCACATTTTTTGAAAATTACAAAAGAGATCACATTTTTGTCTTTTATCTTCTTTTTAGTAATATTGAGGCCAAAAGGCCATTATACAACTATCATACTAAAACACTTGCCTTGTGTATGGAGGGAATAGTAAGATAGATTATTTGCATTTTTCTTTTTGGGGGGTGGGTGTTCAAGGGACCATTTAGAACTCAGAACTCAGAACTCAGAAAATGCTAGAGAAAGAAAATAGAGGATGATACAAGACAAATATGGAAGGGAAGAAAATGTGAGGGAGAAGTGGAGAACAACATCTTTCAAACTCGATAGCTTTATTCTCAATATTTGTTCAAACTCACTTTATCTATCTATTTCTCTTCTATTAAGACTAGCTTATTTGGTAACACTCAAATTGGTTGAATGGGCTGAAGTTGATGAAATTCTAATTGAAACGGTTGAATTGGCTGAATCTGCTGAATTATGGATAAGTTATATTTAAAATATATTTTATTAATAAAATAAAGAAAATATTATATGAAAAATAGCTAAAATGATCATCTATAGTAACTTTAATCAGAAAAGTAATTCCAACCTTACTTATTTTGATTATCATACAATTCATCGTCCAAAATCAAATGTTACATATTTTATATAAAAAATTGTTGATAAGTCTGCTGAAGCCTGAAAATGGGGTTACCAAATGGCCTTTAAGAAATCCATAGATAAGCATTTGTAAAACTTCAATTACAAGAGTAATACTCCCTCCGTTCCCCAATTAAGTTCCCGGTTTGAATTCACACATATTAAGAAAATAAATTTGACTTTACTGTGGAGTGCACTGTTTTGCACGGTTCAAACAGTGTTTGGACACTGTTTTGCACTGTTTGACACTGTTTTGATGTAGATAATTTGCCAAATAAGTAAAGTAAGGAAGTCTGAACTTAATTTAGGGATTGCCCAAAAAGGAAAGTGGTAACTTAATTGCGGGACGGAGGAGGTATTTTATTTTCCTTTGCAATTTCCAAGGTAATTCTAAAAAAAGAAAATGACTTCTCTTGGCATTTTTTCCTTTCCTAGCATTCTCTGAGATCCCAACATACCCCAAATTTTCTAGAATGAACTTGGTAACATTATTTTGTGATTAGTGATTACATATTCACATCACATATGCCTAACATGACCATACTGCAATACATGTTTTTTCGGGTATCAGGGGAATGATAGGAGTCCAGGGTAGATACCATGTCATGGGAGAAATTACCATACTTTAAGTTTTGGTGTGCGGGTGTTTTGTGGGTGGGTGGGTGGTTTTAAAATAATCAACAAAAGATGGTATGACCAAAAGTACATGACAGAATCTTGTCATCACACCACATTTGCCTGACACGATAGTATTGACAATTTGACATCCATGTTTTTTTAAGAAAAAAAAAAGAGGAAAGCAAAGTAGCTTAGACGCCTAAGCACATGCTTAAGTCAGTTTTTCTTGCGTCACCAAGCAAACGCATTGTCAAATCCATTGGTAAAAAAGAAGCTCTAATAAGTCCCACAAAGAGAGAACTACAATAACAATGGTAAAATTATTAAAAATTGTTAGAATGTAAACTTGATTTTGGGCTAAGTTAATAATTGATGTTTGTTGTAATGGGCAAAGCCCAAAATAATTAGGAGTGTTCTAGAGAGAAATGTTCTAGAAAGTTTCTAGAGTGTGAGACTTCTAGAGTCATTCTAGAGAATAATCAATAATAGAGTATTCTAGATAAGGAGAATTCTAGAGAACTCTCCACCTTTTATTGTGAATGTGAGTAGTATAAATAGGTGTAGTTGTGCTCATTTGTAATCAAGCATCAAGCTAAGAAATCTTCAAGCAATAAAATACAAGTTCTCTCTTCTTCCATCCCCTCTTCTAGTTAGCTAAAAGCTTTTTCTACTTACACAATTTACTTCATAACGTCCTAAAATACTTAGCCTCTACCTCTAATATTCCAACAAATTGGTATCAGAGCCATGGCTAACGGGATGCAATCCTTTCAATTCCCTCGCCTAACCAAAGACAACTATAGTACTTGGTGCATCCGAATGAAGGCAATATTAGGTTCACAAAAGGTGTGGGATTTGGTGCTGAATGGCTACGTTGAACCGGAGGATGAAAGTACTCTTAGTGCACTCCAAAAGGACGCATTAGAGAAGGCTCGGGAGAAGGATCAAAAGGCAATGACTCTCATTCATCAATGTTTGGATGACAATCAACTTGTGAAGGTTGCAAATGCAACTACTTCGAAGCAAGTTTGGGAGATTCTTCAAAATACATATCGTGGAGTCGATAAGGTAAAACGCGTTCGTCTCCAAACACTTAGAGGTGAGTTTGAGTCTCTTCAAATGAAGGAATCCGAGTCTATTTCTGATTATTTTGATAGAGTTGAGAAGGTAGTAGATGAACTAAGGAGGAATGGAGAAAATTTGGAAGATACAAGAGTGGTAGAAAAAATTCTTCGCTCTTTAACTCCAAATTTTGAGCATGTGGTAGTGGCTATTGAAGAATCACATGATATAGACTCGATGACTATAGACCAACTCAACGGATCACTAGTGGCCCATGAAGAAAAAATGAAAAAGAAGAAAGTGCAATATCCGTTGGAGCAAGCACTTTATACACAACTCTCACTCAAAAGAGGTGATGGTCAAAGAGGGCGAGCTAGGGGCCGTGGACGAGGTCGAGGCCGAGGAAGAGGACATGGTGAAAATCGCCAAGAACATGAAGAAGAGAAAAAACAACACCTCAAGCCGACAAGAGGTCATGGAAGAGGCGGTTACCAAAGGTATGAGAAATCACAAGTTAAATGCTATAATTGTGACAAATTTGGTCATTACGCTTCCAATTGCAAATCTAATTATTGTGAAGTGGAGGAAAAGTTTAACCCCATCAAGGATGAAGTTGATCTTACCTTATTGATGGCACATGATCTTAAAGAAAAAGAAAGAAAGAGTATGTGGGTGTTAGATACCGGGGCTAGCAACCACATGACCGGCGACAAAATCATGTTCGCGGAAATTAAGCAAGCCAACGGAAAAGTCACATTTGGAGATGAGTCAAAGGTATCGGTTGAAGGAAGAGGTAACATCTTAATCCGTCTAAAGGATGGTAGCCACCAATTTATTTCCGATGTTTATTATGTGCCCAATCTCAAAAATAATATTTTGAGTTTGGGGCAACTTCTAGAAGATAATAATCTTTTTCTAAGAAGTGAAGGAAGATTAATAACCAAAGTGCCAATGACGAAAAATTGAATGTTTTTATTGGAGATTCAAAATGATGAAGCAAAATGCTTACATTCATGTTTAAAAGATGATTCTTGGTTATGGCACTTGAGGTTTGGGCACTTGAACTTTGGTGGCTTAAATTTATGATCAAGAACCAAAATGGTTGAAGGGATGCCAATGATAAATCATCCAAATCAATTGTGTGAGGGGTGTCTTTTAGGAAAACATGCAAGAAAAGGTTTTCCAAAAGAATCAAATTTTGGAGGTAAAAGGCCCTTGGAATTAATTCATGCCGATGTTTGTGGACCCATTAAACCAAGTTCATATGGAAAGAATAATTATTTTCTTCTTTTCATTGATGATTATTCTAGAAAAATTTGGGTCTATTTTCTAAAAGAAAAGTCGGAAGTCTTTGGGTCATTTAAAAAATTTAAGGCCCTTGTAGAAAAGGAAGTTCGGCATGAAATACAAGCCATGAGATCCGATAGAGGAGGTGAATTTACATCAAATGAATTTAATGAATTTTGTGAAAATAATGGGATTCGCCGTCCTTTAACGGTTCCATATTCACCACAACAAAATAGCGTGGTTGAAAGAAAAAATAGAACTATTCTTGAGATGGCTAGAAGCATGCTAAAAGGCAAGAATATGCCAAAAGAATTTTGGGCCGAAGCGGTTGATTGTGATGTGTATATTTTAAATCGTTGTCCAACTAAAAGTCTTGACAACAAGACACCTCAAGAAGCATGGCGGAAGAAGAAACCAAATGTTTCTCACCTTCGAGTTTTTGGAAGTATAGCATATGCTCATGTGCCAGATCAAAAACGCTCAAAGCTTGATGATAAAAGTGAGAAGTTTGTGTTTATTGGATACGATAAACACTCGAAGGGATATAAGCTATATAATCCAGTCACGAAGAAAATCATTGTGAGCCGAGATGTCCAATTTGATGAAGAAGCCTCTTGGGATTGGAGTGTTCAAGAAGATGAGAATTACAACTTCTTCCAGCTCTTTGAAGAAAATGAAGAACAAGAGGACCATGATGACCAAGCGGCTCAAGAACCAAACACTCCACCTCATTCACCATCCATCCAAGGAAGTCCACCAACCAACGATGAAGGCTCAAATGAAAGAACTCCCCGTTATAGAAGCTTACAAGAGATATATGAGGTAACACAAAATTTGGATGAAATAACTCTTGTTTGTCTTCTTAATGATTGTGAACCAATAGGTGTTCAAGAGGCGCTAGAAGACAAGAAGTGGAAAAATGCTATGGACGAGGAGATGAAGTCAATCATGAAGAATGATATTTGGGAGTTAGCTACGCTACCAAAGGGGCACAAGGCTATTGGCACTAAATGGGTATACAAAGCAAAGAAAAATGCCAAAGGAGAAATTGAAAGATACAAGGCAAGGTTGGTGGCGAAAGGGTACAAGCAAAGGGCCGGTATTGACAATGACGAGGTATTTGCTCCCGTTGTCCGCTTAGAAACTATAAGATTACTTATTTCAATGGCGGCTCAAAATAATTGGAGATTGTACCAAATGGACGTAAAATCGGCTTTCTTAAATGGTTACTTGGAAGAAGAAGTCTATTTGGAACAACCCCCAGGTTATATAATTAAAGGGCAAGAAAATAAAGTTTTAAAATTAAAGAAGGCACTTTATGGATTAAAACAAGCCCCAAGAGCTTGGAATACTGGAATAGACGAGTACTTCCAAGAAAATGGTTTTCTAAGGTGCCCTTATGAATATGCCCTTTATGTAAAAACAAATGAAGATGGGGATCTTTTGATTGTGTGCTTATATGTGGATGATTTGATATTCACGGGTAACAATCCAAGTATGTTTGATGCTTTCAAGAAAGAAATGAGTCGTGAATTTGAGATGACGGATATGGGACTTATGTCATACTACCTTGGAATTGAAGTCAATCAAAGTGATAGAGGAATATTTATTTCCCAAGAAAGTTATGCAAGAAAAATTCTTAAGAAATTTAAGATGGATGGGTGCAAGCCGATTGACACACCAGTCGATTATGAGACAAAATTCTCTAAGTTTGATGAAGGAGATAAAGTGGATCCGACTATGTTCAAAAGTTTGGTTGGGAGCTTGCGCTACTTAACATGTACGAGGCCCGATATTCTTTTTGGAGTGGGACTTATTAGCCGCTATATGGAAGCACCAACATCTATCCATATGAAGGCCGCCAAAAGGATTCTACGCTACCTAAAAGGTACGATTAGCTTTGGATTGACTTACTCATCTTCTAAAGATTATAAGTTGTTTGGTTATAGTGATAACGATTGGGGCGGAGATATCGATGACCGTAAGAGTACAACCGGGTTTGTACTTTACATGGGGAATATGCCTTTCACATGGTCTTCAAAGAAGCAACCAATTGTGACACTTTCGACTTGTGAAGCTGAATATGTTGCCGCTACGTCATGTGTATGTCACATCATTTGGCTTCGAAGATTATTGAAGGAAATTCACATGCCGCAAGAAGATGCAACCGAGATTTATGTTGATAACAAGTCGGCCATTGCACTTGCAAAAAATCCCGTCTATCATGACCGAACTAAACATATTGATACTCGCTACCATTTTATTCGTGAATGTGTCGAGAATAAGGAGGTCCAAGTGAAGTATGTGAGGTCGCAAGATCAAGTTGCGGATATTCTTACAAAACCTCTCAAGCATGAAGACTTCAAGCGATTGAGAAGAATGCTCGGAGTTGGAAATCAAGTTTAAGGGGGATGTTAGAATGTAAACTTGATTTTGGGCTAAGTTAATAATTGATGTTTGTTGTAATGGGCAAAGCCCAAAATAATTAGGAGTGTTCTAGAGAGAAATGTTCTAGAAAGTTTCTAGAGTGTGAGACTTCTAGAGTCATTCTAGAGAATAATCAATAATAGAGTATTCTAGATAAGGAGAATTCTAGAGAACTCTCCACCTTTTATTGTGAATGTGAGTAGTATAAATAGGTGTAGTTGTGCTCATTTGTAATCAAGCATCAAGCTAAGAAATCTTCAAGCAATAAAATACAAGTTCTCTCTTCTTCCATCCTCTCTTCTAGTTAGCTAAAAGCTTTTTCTACTTACACAATTTACTTCATAACGTCCTAAAATACTTAGCCTCTACCTCTAATATTCCAACAAAAATAACACCAACAACCAGGGATGAAGCCAGCAATTCATTCCAGTGGTGTCAAATTAATTTTTGGAAAACATATCTCTACACATATAATTATAAAAAACGTTTGAGCGGTGACAATTGACCTCATTTGGTTTATATATAGGTGGTGTCAAATTAATTTTTTAAAAATTTACCTCTACATATATAATAACAAAAAAGATTGAGTGGTGTCAATTGACACCACTCTTATATGTGGGGCCGTCACTGCCAACAACAGTAATAATAAGACTGATGATGATGATGATGATGATAATATTATATTAATAATACTCCCTCCATCCTAAAACAAAGTCCTAGTTTGACTTTCCATGCTTATTGAGAAAGTAAAAGTGTGTGGTTGAAATTATTTAGAGGTGTCAGAAATAATATGAACCACACAATTCTTTCTTTAAAAGGAATCGAGAACCTTGTTTTGGGACGAACAAAGAAGGATAGCAGGGAACTTATTTTGGGATGGAGAGATTAAAAATAAATAGTAAAATTAATAATTATAATTATAATACTAATAAAAAACAACAACAATAATAATCAATAATTCAATGTACCTATTAGGCTAATAAAACATGTCTATATATCTCAAGAAAATATATACAAATTAGATTATTACCTCGATGTATATGCTGGCACAGGCATCTGTACTGCAACTGTATTTGCAGTTATGTTTGATGGAAACTCGGCTCGAATCTTCAAGATTACTTCAGCCTAGTAACATATCACAAGCCTTTACTAACATCTTCACTAAAAGGTAAAATGTATCACAAGTATCTTATGTTTAACAAGCTCCCATGAAGTTGATGAAGGTCTACATTGATAATGAGAACTCTTGGGAAAATCTATATTATGATAACTTCAAAATATTAATCCCTTCAAAATATTAATATCAAGGTCATTCTGATCTGCAGAGAAGGCATTGTCTACCTTGAGCGACCCTGCTACTTCAATCAAAGCATTAATTCGAAAGGGAGGCTTGAACTCCTGAGTTATACGGTAATTCATGACAGGGAATTCACCATCGGGAGGGACCTAAACAATGTAATCAAGCACTTCATATAACAATCTCTCGATTTGCAATAGTAAACCAAATGAATAAGCTACTATAATTCTCCACTCACTAGAGCCAAAGTTCTGTCTATGTCGAAACTATCTAGATGAACAGATTCATGGAAATTGCAATCATCCAACATTACAGCTCCTGACCCAGAAGAGCCACCATAATCTGTTCAATGAAATTGAGGAATATTAGGAAAATAATATTTCAGAAATCTCATAACTCTCAAATTGTTGGCTACACTAAATATGACTGAAAGCAGAAAATACAGAAAAGACAGCATAATATACTGGTGAATGGAGAGTTGAATATGAGAGTACCATATATTGATCCCCCGCCGCTGCCTATGCTCAGATCCTCATTAAGTGCTAGTCTGATTTCTGGATTACCAGTAAGATAGCTCTTCATTTGAATGGTACCATCAATTTCAGAAGTCAATATATATCCCTATTGTTGGATTAAGATGGATTAAACACATGTTAATGATTAGCGATTACTGTAACAGAAATACTGAATATAAGGGTCAAATTTTTTGTTAAAAAAGAACAATACACGTAATACATCCATTTTCTAAATATCAAGCTAGGTGCCCGCCTAAGTGGCGTCCAGGGACACCAACTTCAGCCAATTCAGACTGAAAAATCAATCAGCCGATTAGGCAACCCGAACAGCCGGTTTTTGCTGATCAAAATTATTTTCCCTGCACAGTCCTAGTGACATTGTTTGATCATTAATCATTCTATTCATATTAATATTAAAATTTACTGTTTTGCAGTAAAAGTATAACTTTTGAATGTAAATGAGCTGTTTCAATGACAAAGGAATGCCATTCCATTTTCCGTTTGAAGTTTTTTTGCCAATTAGCTTATTATTTATCATTTTACAACAACAAACTAACATTTGGGAATCATGAGAGCTATTTTATTACCAATAATACAAAAGATATTAACAAATAAACTAAAAATCATTGAAAGAAAGGAGGCCTAGGCACCCTACGCGGGATAGGCTAGCTCCTAGTGCCTTTCACATTGAGCATGTCAAAGTCCCAAGTTTGAACAGGAACCTAAAGAAAAGCTTTTCAATAACGAATAATTTAAATGACCTTTTTGATATTTGAAAAGCTTTTTATTCGCTTGTATTAACAAAATACAAGTGCTGTACCTTAAAGAGAATAATATATATCTTCAGCAATGGTCATTAGTTCAAATTAGGCAATCACATTCAAGTAAATATAGATAATCATAGAATTTCAGTTGATGAAACCAACACTCTAGAGACCTCCATTACAGTTTTTATCATTAGTGTATTAGTCCTTAGAATTCATTAACTTGGTTATAGTTAGTTAAACTTCCTTCAATTTTAAACTTATAAATACTTCTAAGATAAGAAGTTAAGAACTTTGGAACTTGACCTTCCATTAGGTGGAAACAACAATTTACTTTTTTATTACTTCGTCATTACCCACATTCTTGTGAAGTTAAAAAAACAAAACATAAACTCGGTCAAGATGACACAAGATTACTCACACTTGAGCTGAATGTTACGCTTATTTTCTCAATTATATCCACAAATATTTCCTCCCTCTTTCTACCAGCTGGCTCGTTTGCTAAAACGGATTTGGTAATAGCAGTCCCGGGCATTCTTTTTGTTCCTTGCTGCATGTGTCAAAGTGGAAAGCATAAATGACGGGGTATGTTTTGCTGGCAAAGGTAATATTGATATTTGTACAATTGCTTAGGCAATACAAGATACCATAAATAAAGCAGCAGGGCTAATTGGTGGCAAACGACCAGCATCAACAACAATTGGCTCATTAAATATGTAGGATTTCAAGACTTCAGTAGATGTCGTTTGGACATAACCAAAATCCTGCCATAAATTGAAAATAGAGATGAGTATAAACACCTTAATCCTTGGCGATGTATTTAAAAATAAGGTAGGAGTAGGATACTATGACAGTTCTTGAGAAAAATATGATTATGCCCTATACTGTTTAACATAAGCATAGTTGGTCATCAGTTATCACCCAAGCTTGCCAATATGGTCATCTACCTTATGCAATCAGTTTTTTTCTAGTTTCTACCAGTAGAAATGAAAACCCTGCTACAAATTAGTTGTATTTTCTACTATAACAAAAATTAACTTCCACTTCTATCATTACAGATTAGCAGATTTTATAAGCTAGACTAGAAAGACCAAATTAGCAACTTCATACAATAAATCAATATTTTCCATCATTTGCAATGGAGCCAAAGACTCAATATTTTTTGGCTTGAAAATATGATGGAATAAAGCAAAACGGCTCACTAAACTGTTTGCGCTTCTTTGTTATGAAGCTGCAGTCAGTGCATGAGATTTTGGATGCGATCTTCACTATGGGTCATCCGGAAACAGTCTCTCTGTGTTTTAGTAAAGGGGTAAGACTACGTACATTCGACCCCCCTTACCCCACCGTAGGTGGGAGCCTTTGCGGCATTGGGGTAATAATGATGATGATACAATAAATCAATAATTGAGTATCAGATATGGTTAAGCTAAACAACTAGGAGAAAAAAAAACTATTTCTCCATCAGGGGCCAAAATGGTAGTCTTCCATTAAATAAAAAAGAGCAGCCCGGTGCACATTGGCATCTCACAAGGCGAGGGTCCGGAGAAAGGTCTCACCACAAGAGTCTATAAGGGGCAAGCCTTCTCTTGTCATATTGACACGAGGCCGCTCCCAAAACTTGAATCTGTGACCTCTCAGTCACACAGCGACACCGTAATCAGTGCCCCAAGGCTCCCCTTCTAGTCGTCCATTAAGTAAAACAAAAAAAAAATAGAAGAACTAATACAGCAAGTTAAGACTTGATTTACACTACATAGGATAATAGGCCTAAAGAATGGGAAATGAAGGAAAACCAAATGAATCGCATAAAGTCTTAACTCGAATTAAATTCCAAAAGTTATAGAAGTTGTGGTCAAATAATAGGAAAACAATATACATTTGTTTAATGAAAATATGAATGCAATAAATGAGTAAGAGAAATTAATATAACAATGGTTGAGTTCAATCACAGATTGTGTTATTTAGATTCATAAATCATTGCACTTCATGCCAACTATATTACTTACAATAATTTCATCAAGTAGCTCGTACACAAGTACAAAATTTTTTCTTAAGGAATCTTCATTGAGGATGCCAAGGTAATCTTTAGTAACACGTGCAATCCTTTGTAGAAGCTCCAGCACGAGAGAAGGTGACACGTTGGTCCTAGTTGTTGCAACAAAAAGCAGACCAACAACCTTCACATGGAAGTAGTTTACACCATCCACATTCTGTTGATTATAAAAAAGAATAACATCATTACCATCTATTCAAGAATGGCAGTTTCAGTAAGGGGTCAAATACCAAATATGTAAAGAACATACAATACTTGAAATAAGTGTGCAGAAAGAAAAGAATTAGCTAAAATGAACAGATATAGGTAAACATCGGGAGGGGGACATGTAAACCCTCTCCATAATACAAGAGACAAAAAGATAAACAGCCACTAACATAGATAAACTTATACTTTTTTAACTCTCAAAGACTTAAATATAGAGTTCAAGAAACCTTTAATGCTTAGGAAATGGACACTAAAGAGTGTGCTACATTAGAAAAGATACCTACAAATACAGGTGGTGCTTCCTCTTCACCGTCTTCTTTCCAAAACTTAACTTTGCGAAAGAAAATCTCCGCACTTCCTTTTTGCACATCTCCCCGATCTGCATTTAGGATGTAATTTTAGTATAAATATAGGATGCCTAAAGCGAGATGTGTTTGAATTGCAATGGACTAAAGAGATGACCATCTTGTTTGAAGTTGTATGAAGGAAATAGAACTTTAGGTACAACAACAACAACATACAAGCATTAATCCCAAAAGATTCTGGGGTCGGCTAACATGAAACGATCCATGATATCGATGCCAAAAAGAGAAGATAGACAAGAAGAAAAAAAAGGATAAAACAAATAAGATAAAGATAAATAAATATAAGATAACAATAACATAAGAAAATAAGAAAAAGATAAAAGATTAAAAGATAAAAGAGCATAAAAAAGCTAGAACTTTAGGTACATGAGATATTTATTCCCGTCTAACATACAAGAACCCTTTCATTATCAAGTCCTATTCACCTTGTACATGCATTTGTCAAGCTCAGATATATTATATTTGCCCTTCCTCTGGCCAATTCAAACTACTTGACTCCCATTGTCCATGTTTTCAACCTTATTAAATTCATCTGGCTTGATCAAACTCATCAAATGCGCAATAATGAGTTAAACATGATATGTTCAATGAAGAATCCTTTATACTTCTGTGCGAGCATTTCTAAAAACCGATACTTGACTAGAATGACGCCCCAACATGACACAATCTATGTTCCCATAAGCTTTGGATTCAGAAAAAACCTAAACTATGAATCAAAATACAATCTCAAGGCTCAGCTCACCACCAATTTGTGATCTAACATAGATGAACATTTTGGGAGTATCTACAAACTAAATTCAGCCCTAACCTCTGCCTCCAAATGTTAAGAGAACAAGTTAGCACACACTTAATTGCAGCAAACTACGTCAATGCATTTCAATCATCTAGCAGGCAGCTAATAAAATTTATATTAGATTGAAAATTGACTTCTTTAATACGGAGTATTATATTTCAGCAAAAAGATTTTCCAGAACTAAGATGCTACTTATTTTAGGAGCTCAAAACGAACATAACGTGAACTGAACGAGCAAACCCACATGATTGTGGAATGTAGTAATTCCGGTCAGAAAGCTCAATCTGAGTTGTGATAAATTCAATTCCTTTTCAGAATGAAAAGGCGTGAAAGCACAATCTGAGAATAGAAGTCTCAAAATAATTTGAATGAAATGGTCTAGAAATCCATAAAAATCAACGCACAAACAGCAATCGTGTGCAGAGCCGTTTGTAAGCACATCACATGAATGCGTGCAGGCATAGATAGATCACTCACAGTCGCGAAAGACAATGCTGTCTCCCCTCTGAGAAAGTACGAAGAACTGAGAGATCATCCCTTACTGCTGTTGTTGAGTCTTCGGATCGTGAGCTCTCTGTGCTTAGCTGCTACGTATTTGATTCCAGAGCGCTTCAGGCATAATAAAATACGTCCACAGTCAAAATTAATAATCCCTCCCTTCCATATTTAACTCCTGTTTTGACCGGGCACGAGTTTTAAGATAGTGGAATTTGTATGATGGAGAGTTATGCAGAGAAGAGAGAAATGTGTAAGAATGGTTGTGAACCACATATTCTTTACCAAAAAGGAAAAAAGGAGATAAATTTGGAACGAACCGAAAAGGAAAGAATGAAGATAATTCCGGGACGGAGGGAGTAATACATAGGACACTGTTTGGCACTGTAGCGACACTGTTTTACACTGTTTTGCACTGTTTGACATTGTTTGGTATAGATTTGTTTACCAAATAAGGAAGTTTTAGAAATGAGACAATTATTTCGAGACGGACCGAAAAGGAAAGCGGGACAATAATTTTGGGACGGAGGGAGTATTAATTTGCATTAATTTGCTACGGAAGTATTACCTCAGTCCCAATGAGTCAATGACTTTGCATTTTGCACTCCTTAAAGTGAGAAATAAGAATAGTAAAAATTGTGTGACGGAAGTTTATGCAGTGGAGAGAGAAATGAGTAGAAACACAAAATAGTTACTTACTTTAATGAGAAAGTGTCAAAGTTTTTTGGGATAAACAAAAAAGGAAATATGACAAAGTCCAATTGGACGGAGGGAGTATGATAGTAATTACCAGTAAAGCCCATTAAGTATTAACCCCATAATCCATTATTTGGGACAAGTTTACTTCACGAGTTACTAAAAGATGCTTATTAAGACGCACGTTAATAAGCGACGCATAAAATAAGCAGTGTTGTAACCTCATGTTTATTTCAAAGGATTTAAAACACCGTTTAAGATTCAAATGTTCAAAATAATCATATACATATATAGACAATAAACAAGGGTAATATAATATGTGGAGGTCACCTCGTACGCGTACTCATACCCCTAGGGGCAGTTGGTAGGGGGTAAAACAAAATTATAGGAAAAGGTGCAAATAAGCCAACAAATTAATCGAAAAAGTGCAAATCACCCCTTTTGTAGAAGACTCTGTCCGGTCGTCGCCATTTGAGACGGTTTCCGGTGGAATTTGTTGATGAATTTTTTTGAGCATCTTCTTCATTAAGTCTAGTTATCTTCAACCGAGAAGGAAGCCAAATGATTTTCTGAAATATACTGCGCAGTTTAACTGTGTAGTTATCTTCAAACATTTATTTGAGTGCATATTTTCTCCCACTGCCCCTTTTCCCTATTTCCAAAATAAGACTGTAATGTTTTTATTCCCTAAATGAGAGTAATTACTGTCGAGTTTAAAAAAATATTGTCATATTTTAAGTTTTTACCGTCAAAACATTACAGAAATTACTAGAATAAAAAACCCGATATTCCTATTTTAGATTTGGAGAATGTTTTTACCTCACCAATTTTCCTTCTTTAGAAATATTTTACCTCATTGGAAATATCTCATTTCCGAGCATTTGACTCGTGACAAAGCCTGGAATCACCACAAGGCGAAAAAAAAATACCACTTGGGCGGAGACACGCTGCAAAGCCACTCCGCCACCGCTCGCCCATCGCTGTCTGACGTTCCAACATCACCATCCGCCGGAGTTCCATCACTTACGATCGGTGTCCACTTCCGAACAACTCTCTTCCACCCTATCTAACGTAAAAATGCATTTTTGGTTTACATTAAATGTTTAATTGTTTTACACTTCTTTTTCGATTTCTGTATATATTTTTTGTGTAGAGTTTCTTTAGTTGCTTTAAATTTCAGATAGAGCATGAAATAGGTTTTCTGATTTTTGTAGTTTTGTAATGTATGTAATGTGTTTGTAAGAATGTCTATAAGATTTTCAAGATCAACCGTGTATGCTATTGTTTATAGGGGTTTGTATCCGCGCATCTCTCTATTCGAGAGGCGGAATGGAGGATTACAGAGAATAAGAATTAATCAGAAATTTGTCCCCAATAGTTCGCAAGGGAGTTGGAAGAGAACTCAACAGCATAACTTATTGTTCTTTAAGTCTTTCATTAAATCGTCATAAAAATTAAATTTACTTTTCTGTTCTTGCCAAATGCCATGTATTTTTATGCATTTCACCCAGTATGACCTATTTGAAAAACTAGCTTGTTACTTTATTTTAAACTTCAAGCCAGAGGCAGATGTGGTCGAAAGTTGTTGCAATTGAGCCTCATTGTGAGGTGAAGTTTGATCTTTTAGTTCTTCTACTGATTAACTATTATACCTGGATTTCATGGCTAAATCACTCTTTGAACTTGTAACATGCCTACTGATTATGCTTTGCTTAAAATGGCTTGAAAGGAGATTACATAATACTCATTCCATTCTCAAATGTAGGTCACTCTATTGGTAAAAAATGCTCTCAAATATCACATCAAAAAATTAGAAGAGTATTAATTGCTCGATTTTTACTGTTTCCCTCAATCTATAAGTGTGCTGTAGTACTTCCTATGGTTTTAATACTCTGATAGTCTGATTTTGTCTTGATTTTTGTAAAACTATATTTTTTTTCTCATTATGCATGTAAACTGCTCAAGCGACAATTTATTTGATGATTTGTCTTGTGCAAAGAGGTTGTGGCAGTGATGGTGGAATTATGGTGGTCTTTACTGGGGGCTGCTATACCAGCTGCACTGGCGGGTCAAGCGTGGAGGATGAAGAAGAGACGGGACGATGAACAGAGGATAAAGAGAGCCAGAGGGCGGGAGAAAAGCTCAGATGAAATATTTGTCTGTGAGAGGGTTTGTACGTCAAAAAGGATGCTGAAGAAAGTTGGTGCATTTTCGAAGGACCCAACCCCTGATACATGTGTTACCGTTTGTGGTGTTTCGGAGCTTGATGCCTGTGCTGACGCATGTGCGCGGACTGTCTGTGTTAATCAGCATCAAGTCCCTAATTGGAATGATGTTTGTCTGAAGAGGTGTCAAAATGAGTGCCTTAGGCTCTCCAATTCCTCTTCCCTCTCTTGATACACCATTTCAATTACTTCTCTCTGCATTTCTTTGATGATTATTGTATCTTCTAGTCCAACTGAAAGATGCTTGCTGTTTCTGTTGAATTTGTGGATTGTGGATTTTGTATTTGCGTTCTCCATTATGGTACCTAGAGTTTTCTTTTTTGAGGTAAATACTTCGACACATTTCATGATCACTTCTAAATGAAGTTGTGTGGCTAATAGTCTACAATGTTCAGTGAAGATACTGTACAAGTATTTAATAATGATCTCGTTAACTTTTCATAGTAATTATACTATGATAGTAGGCAACATGTTTTTATTTGTATACACCTAGTTTCATATAAAACCAACACTACCAGTTTTCCTACTACTTCAGACTTCAGAGGCAGTGTTGGGGTATACTAGATAGAAAGAAAATTGGGGGTTTGTTCCTGGGCAAAGCATGTTTGGATCCTGTCTATCTTTTGGTGAGTACTCGTATCTTGTGGTGGCTTTTCATCTAGGATTTTGTCTCGGCTCGTCCTTCTTTTCTGAGTTTCACACTGAGTACTCGGCGAGTTTCTTAGTTTGGGGAAATATTTGACTCGGCGAGTTACTTGGCAACTCATAAAATGTTTTTTTGTGTGTTAAATTTGAAATTTTCAATTCATGTTGTGGAACTTATAGTGATTCATCCTCATCTCTTATTAAGTTATTCTCCTCCGTGGCTCTATCTTCTTTATAGTTTCTTCTTATGATTATTATATTATTCATATCTAAGATTTATAAGACTAATATTATATAACACTATAATTTTAGGGAGCAAAATTTTTTTTGGAAAATTCCCAAAATAAAAGTTAAATTGTTTTAGAGTTCTAAAATAGGATTATCATGTTTTTATTCTCTAAATAGAAACAATTATTGTTAAGTTTGGAAGATACTATCATGTATAAAATCTATCAAAACATGACAACTATTACTGTTATTTAGGGAATTAAAACATGACAATCCTATTTCGGAATTTACAAACATTTTTACTCCAATTAAGAACATTTTTGTATTTTTTAACTACTTAGGCCGGACCAAGCCCAATAATGAAGCAAAGGGAAAAAATTGAATAGACCAATATACTCATACGTACTAGTAGCTCAACTGATAAAGCAATGAGAAAGTTAGACAATAACCAAACATCGAAACCCGCAATGATTGTACGGAGGTATGTGATGCGCACGAGTATAAAGTCTACCACTTTTTATGATTGGTTAAATTATTGTGATTTATATCCTCTCAAATGCTATGTCAGTCGGGGCATGGGGAGCACTTAGGGTTGAGGAGTCAACCTTTGGACAATGGTATAAACCTGATACAAAATTCACCTACATACTTTTTTATTAATTTTCACACGTTTTTTAGTTCTTACCAAAATTGGGATGGCCTGAGGACAAATTCACCCCTTGGCTACACCCATGACCGCGAATCCGCAATTGATGGACTTTCAGATGTGAGAACAAACCAGTTTTACGGTTCGAAACTCCAACTGGTCCAAATCTGTTGGTTTGTCTAAATTATGCATGGATCGGCCAGCTCTGGTTTCATTTGTTTAAAAGTGAACTACAGAAATTTGGTATGAAACTATGATTGAATCGAACCTGGAGCCCATCTACCCAAACTAGATCAGGTATGACCAATAACGATTATGGTCCCCCTATGACATGACCAGAACCGGACCAAGTCCACTGGCATAAACAAGGACTGGCTTTTTGGTTCAGCACAAATTTTTAAAGCATAAGCATAATTACGGATTAGGGGGTTTAGGATAACAATATAATAACAATGCAGCACATCAAACATGGGGTATTTTTTGTTTCACAAGCACCCAAGACTTGATTTAGATCTTCAATTTGACCTATTGTAGCCAGCACCCAAGAGCTGAGAAGACACAAAAGATAGCATTTTGGAACCTGATGCAAGTTATATGTAGGCATACTTTATTCCTTTTGGGTCACACTCTTTTTTGTTCAGAAACCGAAAGACCAAAAAAGTTTTAAAACGAAAAAATGGAACCACATGTGATCCACTCCCCATCTATAAAAAAAGCTTAATTTGTATCCACACGTCTACCTCCCTTTTTCATATAGGCACCACCTTTATAATGAGCTCTCAATGGCATCAAAGTTCAAACAAAATTCCAGGAGTTTGAACTTTGAAGGGACAAAGAAATACAGTGTATGAAATTCTTTTTAAGTTCCAAGGACATTCGCCGTTCATCATCTAGCAAATATGAGATCGGGTATAGCATCCGATAAATATTCAAATTTTTCTACAAGCACAAACAGGAAAAGACTAACAGTTCAAAGGTGAAACACCTCCTACTACAGCTTACATTTGAAACAAGAGCCATTTCAGGGCTCACTTTTCTGACATAGATTCAGAATATAAATATATATATTTGTATAGAAGCAAAATGCAAACAATCACAAGCTAAGTACAACCTGATCGCTGCCTACACCATCTGCCCTCTCGAACTTGATACATTCTGGGAATATGGGAAAATTCTAGGGCAGAGGATTCTTCCTAGGCCTGCCCCTCTTCTTAGGACCACCTGATACTGGTTGGGGTGATGGTGTTGGCTTTGGCTGGGGCATTGGCGGCACAGATCCCCCTGGAGCACCCCCCATAATAGTAGCATTTCCCTCACCAACTGCCACAAACCCCTCACCTCCATTCACACTTCCAGTTAGTACTGTAGGACCACCGCCATTTGCCATATGAGTGGGAGTGGGAGTGGGAGCGGGTGTGGACTCTGGTGGTGCTCCTCCTCCTCCACCACCACCACCACCACCACCTGGGAACATGGGAGGCATCCAATTGGGAAAGCCATTGACAGCAGCAGCCGTAGTTGAAATGCTCCTCTTTTCATCGGCATTTCCCAACACAAAGCCCATTGGAAAAAATCCCCAACAGCAATAATAAGCATTCTTCCCCGGCACACGAGGAGGCATCTGCCTTATCTCGGCCGCAGTGAATGCCCTCTCACAATTCTCACACCTTAAACAGCACCCTACGTAAGTCCTGTCATACTCATACAAGTTGTAGCAGTAGGGACAAACAGACCAAAAGGTTGATCTTTGAGGTTTCGCCCCAGTACCAACACTCCTAGGGTTCATTTTCTCGCCCACACTCTGATTAGCCCCATTAGTGTTGCTATTGAAATTGGTGTTAGTCTCATTACCATCGCTACTGTTCTCATTATTATTGTTAACACCGCTTACTCGCGAGCTTCTTCTCACCGGGAGTTTATGACCTTGATCCTCGAATCCACGAGCTGCCTCGGCGGGCGCTGGCGCTGGAGCCGGCGCTGGCTGCCGCCTTGTGGCTGGCTTCCTCTTCGGCACCAAATCTACCTTTTGATAGATCAACAATTCGTTGTCGAACGCGGATTTCTTCGTTGGATCTGACAGGACGGCCCACGCATCTGCAACGAGGCCGAAGGCGGCGTCGGCGAACACGAACTTGTTCTTATCCGGGTGGAGGAGGAGTGCGAGCCGGCGGTATTGCTTCTTGATCTGCTCCGGATCGTCGGTTCGGCCACCGATCTGCAGAATTGCATACCAGTCGTGGTGGTTGTGGATCTTCCTCGCGGACGACAAGAGGACCTCGGCGACGGCCAAGATCTGGTCGGAGCCTTCAAGCAACGGCTCGGTTTCTTGAGCCAGCAGCGCGAAGTCCTTGCAGCCGGAATAGTCCTTGTTACGGAGCAGCTTTTCTGAGACTCCCAGCAGCCGTTCCGCTTCCGCTCGGGTCGTGGTGGTGTGGTGCTCCATCGCTGCTTCCTCTTCCTGATTTTTCTCTGATTTTGGGTTTTTTTTACTTTTTATTTTGTTTTTAATTTTCCTTTTCCCCAAGGTGTTGCATAGGGGATGGCGGAAATGTGGAAGGAGTTGGAAAAACTTGAATAGATGCGGGTGAAAGGTGAAAAAGTTGCGGGTTTAAGGGTCCACTGGTCGATTTGACCAAATTGGGGCTCCAGGTTCGAGATTCTCAAGTGGTTGGGCTGAGCCACACGAAGTCCAAAACTAACGAGTACGACTCAATCGGATTGGCTCAATATAGAGCCCATTTAGAGACCCTAATTTTCGGCTTATAAAGCTAAAATCAATTGAAGTTTCAGATTTCAAGCATTGAATTGTATAATAATCAAAATAAGTAAGATTGAAGTTACATTTATGATTGCATTGGTTGAAGTTATTGGGAAAGACTGTTTTAACTATTTTTAAAATAATTTTTCTTTATTTTATAATAAAATATATTTTAAATTATTATAAATCATCAGCAGAATCAAACAATTTGTCACTTCAACCAAAACTTCATAAATTCAGCAGAATCGTCCGATTCGGCCAATTTCAGTGTTAACAAACAAACTTATAATACGATAATATAAACTAATTAATGGATCAGATTGAATTGAATTTTTAAATAGTACAAACTTTATATGAATTGACTTAAAGTATTGGGTCGGACTGACCAACATGTCACTCATTAATAGGGTTAGGCTTGATAGACATAAAAGAAGAAAAAAATGTAATGCAACTATAAAACTATTTATGAATCATGAAATACTATGTAAACAATTAAGTAAGTGAAAAGGAATTCATAAATCAATAAAATCTAATAACAAAATAAATATTCAAATTTATTTGTAGCTTATAACTTATCTATAACTTATTCATCTGATCTAAACTTCTCAAAATTTTACTGCAAATTTTTATCACTTGATAATTATCAAGAAAAGTATGCGGCTCAGTTCAGCTGGTCGCTGACTCACTCTCTCATACGGGAAGTCTCGTGTTCAAAATTCCACAGATGGAGTTCCAGCCGTGTTTATTGTTTACCCTAGACTCCCCCTAGCCCCCCAACCCCCTCAAGTAAAAACAATTATCAAGAATTTCATTGTCCTCTTCCATATCCTCTCTAGTCATCTAATCTGATCTTGATGCAATAATATACATAAGATATACTCCCATGTCTCGAAAAGGTTGACCAAAGTTGACTTTCACGTGAATTAATAAAGTAAAAATTGTGTGGTTGAAATTTGTGTAGAGGAGAGAGAATTAATTTTAGCCACATATTCCTTACTTTAAATGGAAATGGCAAATCTTTTTGGGACATCCAAAAATGGGAAATTTGGCTAACCTTTTCGGGACGGAGGGAGTATATTATTTTTCTTGATCCAATGTTATTTTTCTAGCTTCCGGTTTTAGAGTTTATTGGTGTTCAACCTTAAAATAAAATAAATACTCTAATTGTACTAAGGTTCAACCTAGATCGGAGTTCTTATATAGTGCATCCGGGTGTATGTACACCCGGCCCAGGTAAGAAACACGGCCCAACCACTAATACAGGTCAAAAAAAAATCGGTGGCAATATTGTAATTTAAGAGAAAATTTACGGCTTCCGCTAAATGAGCAATATTGTACATTTAGTGAGCATGCAACCTATTTTATTGAGTATTACGAGGCTAACAATGAGTAACACGGTCTCAACTTCATATCTTCTAATTTTTGTTCTTTTTCTTATTTTTTTCTTTTATAAAAACTTATTAAATTATATCTATAATACACTCTTATGAATTTCAATATGTGAATTTAGTGTAATATGATACTTGTGAAATATGCATTGATATGACATTGTAAAAGTGAGCATAACATCAGTACCAAATGAGCATATACTATCCTCCGTTCCATAAAAGTTGCAACAGTTTGACTTTCACGTTTGCCAACGCACAACTTTGACTGTAATTATATTTATTAACGTATTAGTAAACATTAAAAAAGTTAATATAATGGAAATTTACATTAATACAAATTTATTAATATTTTATACATAATATTTTTATTATATATATTATTAGAAAATCGTAGTAAAAGTAAGGTATGTGAATAGTGCAAAAATTCTAATGTTGCAACTTTTATGGAACGGAGGAAGTATAACTTACAAAGTGCACATTGATATGAAAATCGTAAGGTTTGTTAGTTGAACATTACAACATTTTAATTGAGCATCAAACCTCCGATATTGAGATGAAAATCATAATTTCTTGTGAATGAGCATTAATGAACTTTTAATGAGCATCAGACCTATTATGTTGAGTATTAGGAGTCTAATATATATATATATATATATATATATATATATACGAGCATAAGAAGACTACCAGATAAGCATACATAACTTACAAAATGAGGATTAATGAATTTGTGAGTTGGTTTGTTAGTTGAACATTACGATATTTTCATTGAGTATCAAACCTCCTCTATTGAGATGAAAATAACGATTTCTGTTAAATGAGCATTAATGCACTTTTAATGCATCATACCTTCTATTGAACGTTAGTTTCATAAGCATTGATAGGACACTTTAAAACGTGCATATATAACAACAGTCCTAAATGAGTATACATAAATTATAAAATGAGCATTCAATAATTAAAAAAATCATTAAAAATCTGTAATGTGCTTAAACATTCATTTGTGTAACAATGAGAAATATAATGAATTCTAGATTCAAAATAGTTTATAATTTGTCATTCTTGAATTACAAAATTAATCATAATCTTTTTATAATGTTTACTCATGCACATTTATTTTTTACACTATGCTCAATTCAGTATAACACAAAACTCATGTTAATAATGAGCACACAATGTTCAAATATTTAACACACACAAATTATTAAATTAACAAATATTCATCTCCAAATTAAAATAGGAAAAAAATTGATACCTAAAAGATTTTTATAATGCACTATTTAAAGAAATACTTAAGTAGCTACAAAGGAAGGTTAATTAGAAAAAGAAAAAGAAAAGCAAACAGGGACGTTAAGTTCCACATTCTATATTGCACATATTTATAAATTAAAACTAATGGAAAAAAATTGTTAAAAAAAAAAGAATACCCAGGGAAGAAACGTAGATGCAAAAAGAATGCAGGAGAAAAGTTTATAAAGAAAGCAGGCATGCACGCACAAGGCACGGAAGATTAATACACAGCCAAGACTATTGCCATTCATATTATATATAATTATAAAAATACCCGGGTGTATACATACACCCGGGTGTACGGTATAACTTACGCCTAGATCGTGTCTCAAAAACTATATGATGATACTATTAATTTATATTACTAAACATGGATTCAGTATATAATTAATTAATAAGCAGTGAATAAATGGGTTTACGGGGAAGGCTCACTTGAGGCTAACACATGTGTTATGACGGCCCGCGTAAATGAGCAGGGCCGAGTTTCAAATACTCTATCTCGGGCCCGCCTTTTCAAATTGTGAGCTGAATTTTTAGTAGGCGATGGGCAGGCCACACAGACTAATAAGCCCATAAACGAAATGATGATCTATATTCCCATTTGCCTTTACCGTTATGCACTTACTTATAAATTAGCTAACTTAGCTCTAGACCTCACCCCTTGAAGTTAACACACGGATAGGGGATATATATATTGAGTCACCATGATTTACAACCTATCATATGTCATGTCGGGTCGTGGCATGGGAGGTTTTGAGGTTTGGGATTCAACCTTTTGGCGGAATGGATAGAGGGCATATAATACAGTGTATAAATAGACACATATGTGATTCCCGGTTTGAGGCTGGAATCGTATAGTGCCTCCGGCTTCAAACCTTATGTATACTAGGTGTTTTTAGTTCCTACAAAGATTCCAATGTAAAAAATGGGAAGGGTTGGAATTGATAAAGGGAATATTGAATGAAACAAAGTGGTTTCAATTTTGGTTTGAACATTGTTTACTTACAAAAGTACAAAAATTAATACATAGTATGTGTTTAAGGTTGTCTATTGTAATAATGTCCCTTATCTGTCACTTTCTTTACTAACATTTCTTTTCTTTTTTTAACTCTTTCAAATAAGGTAAATTTATATCTTACTTTTTGCACTTATTTTCCTTTCCACAATTCTTCACCCTTCCAAAAGTCCCATCCAAACCCAACTTTGATAAACCTAAAGTCCTAAACTAATACTCCGTAACATTTTAAAAGAAACAAAATTGTGCTCTGCTTTATTGGTCTAGTTTAATGCATAAGAACAAACAATCTAAAATATAGGATGACACCCATGAACTCCGCGGCAGTTGCAAGATTGGTACTGAAACTTGAAGTATCTATACTTGCAAATAAACCAATTTTTTTCAAATCATCCCCAGCTGAATTCAAAGAAAATGTTGTATGTAATCAGATTGGGCTTAGACTTCTCTTCTCTCTTTTGATGATGTTTTGACTTGCATGTATCTCTAAGCTATTATATTAGAGGTCAGATGCATTGATAACAGAGTCAGTATATAAGGCAATTTGAGGTGCTAGTGCTATTGTCCATCTTCATTAGAAATAATATAGTAAGAAACTATGGTGCCCTTTTAGCCCATCTTTCCTTGGTTGCAACATGTGAAAAACTATCATTACGTAGTTCATCTTTTCTTGTTCATGGAAAAGTGCACTATTTAATACACATCTTATTGAAAATACGTAGTTCATGGTATTGGTTCAGTTCACATTCGTATCCCTAAGCAAAAAATGTGGATTTAACTATCCCCTTTCCTTCGATCCCAACCCCCTCCGTTCAATCCCTTCATCATCCACACTGTCAATAGAAAACTAAAAGAGAATCAACCATTCCAGCTCACTGGATGAGAGTTTACCGTGTACTAGCGGAGGTCTCGAGTTCGAATCCCGCTAGGCACATTTAGGGGAGAGGAGAGAGGTCTTGCTTCAAATGATTTTTGCTACCTTCACGGAGTTGCACAGCGGCTTAGAAGGGAGCGGATGAAAATTGATATCGCGAGTTCGCGTGGTGGGAGGACCCTTCTGGATACAGATGAAAGGAAGTCCTACATAGTAGGAGGACCCTTCTAGATTCAGTTAAAAGGAAGTCCTGCTGGA